TTTTATTTCTGCCGTACATTTCCTTTGAGTGTTTGGCGGCCATATTGTCAAGTAACCTCGCGCGTGCGCCGTTGCGATGTCCGGAATTTCTGGCCATGTTTTAAGCCCTCGTCGCACGAAAAGTGTTTATTACTTCGGGATCAAGTTCCTTGGGACATTTATTCGTGGTATGAACTTTCAACATCCAGAACTAATATATCTGTAGCTCTATCAGAAACTGAATCGCTTATCCAAGAGGTCAATATCATTAACAAAGATTTGATATCTACATGTAAAGAGCATCACTGATTAGTACGTAAATAGGAGCTTCATCTTGACAAACATCCAGGGCTGTTAATTCATAATTTGAAAACCCTATTGTTCTTCTCCTCATTGATATTTCACTCGAACAGGCTGAACACGAAAACAAATTAAAAGCAGATGTCCAGCTGATGTGAGTTTGTGTTAATTCTTCATTGTGATTAATATCCCAAGCTGATAATTCTATGCTAATCTTGATAAGTTGCACCATAAAATTCGAAAACTGCCACGGGCCAAAGAAATAAGAATTCAAAAGAAAATTACCTAGCATGTATCGTAATGGAGGTGGCAACTGAACAAACAAACAACTACGGAAAAGTTCCACAATTCTATAGGCAAGGTACGGTTTCATTTATATATTTTTGATTATAAGCTGAAGTCACCAAGATATAATTTCATGTCATTATTTTGAACACTCTTTATAACCTAGTCGAAAATTATTTTTTTCCCGTTTTCTGATAAACCTAAGCTATGACGATAGGAGAAAGGACTAAGTTTAAAGGGTTTTGAAGTTTTTTTTATGCTTATAAAGTTCTTATAAGGCTTATTCCTTTCTCTCTATCGGTATTACCGTGCACTTGCGCCTTGAAACTGTCCACGGATTAATTTTCTGAAACTTCACCAGCTGCTCTGTCTTGGTGGGGTGTTTGCTTAACACGAAGTATTGTCAAGTCCAAGTTTGTTTCGATCGTTTGTTCAGCATCGCCCACCTGACGTAGCCTTCTAAAGCAAACCAGTTTCTTAGCTTCTCGGCGAATTTTCCCGTTGAGCGTCAAGCATACAATTGGATTGATACAACTGCTGAAATATGCAAATAAAATGTAGGTAACATATGCAGCTCGTGGCAGGCTTCCTGTACCCATTATCGCATTAAGAAAATCCACCGTAATGACGGGAACCCAGCAGAAAACAAATCCAACTACAAGAACAAGAAGCATCTTTGTCATTCGCATTTCTTCAGAGCTCCAACCTTCAGATTGGCGTGAGCGGATTGTGTTTTTTGTAGCTTTTGCGTGTTGCTTGACAGTGCAAAAGAGTTTGTAATAGCACACCGCAATGAAAGCCATCGGCAGAATGGTGTAAATGATCAGAAGGAAAAAGGTATAAGCAATCTTTCCAAGTCTGCGGTCTGGATCGAAAGTCATGAAACAAGAGGCTTTTCCCGGTCGGAAGATGTAAGTCACCAGTCCGCTCAAATAAGGCGAAATGGTCAGAATAAAGGGGACGATGCTGACCACTGAAATCATGGCCGCTGTGGACCTTTTGGTGAAATATTTCTTATATAAACGTGGTCTTATGACGCAAAAGTAGCGGTTAATAGCCATCAAGGTGACCATGTGGAGTGAAATCCAAATAACGCAAAGGATGAAAACTCCTTGGAATATGCAAGTGGTCTCACTGAAAATCCAATTGCCGTGTACAAATATTGAGGCTGTGAATGGCATAACCAATGAGGCGGTTAACACGTCTGCTATGGCTAAACCCACCAAGAACATGTTAGTAACGGTGCGAAGCCCTGAATTCTTGAATACCGCGGCAATAATGAGTAGATTGCCACAAAACGCTGTGATGATAACGAGCACCATAAAACATGATTCAAACGCCACGGTTACCTTGCTTCTGGTTTGTAAATCATTTAGGAGCCTAGATAAATTCTCCTTGTCCATTTTCTTACCTTCAAACGATGGATTCAGTTGAATCAACCTGGGATATTTACGTTTGTAGCTTAAACATATATACTCCGAAACAGATGAAGTTTTTGGACTACCACTGTTATTTGATGGAGACAGCTGGCATCCGCTTCTGTTTCTTTGGATTGGAAGAAAGCACTGAGTTTTACAATAAATGTTTAAACAGGCTAACAGTTGTTTACATAGAGATTTCACATAATTGGTTGACCATTGACAAAGAAGGGAGAGCTTGTACTTTTTCTTTCTTTTCTTTAAAAAAGCAACTATGTGGTACTGACTAGGCGGTACTCTTTCAGTTAACTTTCCGTTCAACAGATCACTGAATACGCATCTAAATCCAAGGAAGAACAAGGAGCGAGAGTAAACCGTTTCTGATTGTTATTCGCCTTGCTTTTTAAATAATATATGTAAATGACGTCACATGTAGAGATCCACGCGAAAAAAAATAAAAGCGGCAGCCTTAAATGCTTTCCCCTTTTCAATACGCCACTGTGTAAAACAGTACTTTTACATTACAATTATATATAATTACTGTGGAAAGAAAAAAACAGCCGCAGCGAGCAACGAAATTTTATCTGGCTAAACTGCCGAGTGATTGGCCAAAAATAAATAAATTACATTAAAATTAATGTCGTTTTTCGGAACTCTTGATATTTTCCTAAATCCTGTTGTCTTTCCAAATGATTGTGTTCCATTCCTTTTTGTAACTAATAGACTAAAAGCTTTTGCAACAGGAAACATAAAAAGTTGTGACCATAATTTAGTTATTCTCAATGACTTTCGAAAAACGCCAACCAACTGACATATCAATGCTTCTTCATATTTTTCATTTTGTTATGACCGCTGTTAATTTGGCATGAATTCAAAATGGCATTCTTTAATTTCAATAAAAACGATTTCAGTCGGGTGTTTGGTTCATAGAGTTGGCTAAGGCCACAATTCTCTTGAACGGTTTTGTCTCAACCTGATGGACCCTAATTAAATATGAGTTTATGTTTTCTTTTATGTTTTGCCTCCTTCAAGTTTCTTCTGTAAATATGGTGCCAAAATATAAGCGCTGCACATGCACGCAGTGTAGAATGTTTATTTTATTGCGGTACAGTGTTTAAGTCAGAATCCTTCTTCAGGAAACTGGACCAAGATGCACTACCTGCGTTGCACAAACCACACCATGTGATTCAAAAGAAACTGCATTTTATAATTGCTAAGATAGAGCTTTTAAACACTTTTTTTTGTCTTTTTTTGGACTGGTAGCTCATTAAAAACATGCGACTTGTTTCTTGTACCGCGCGGAATATGTCGATCTCCAAATTTATAAAGGTAAGACTTTCGGTAACTTGAATTAAATATCTTACCTCCAAGTTAGTTGGCTTTCTGGTAGGGTGCAGGGGAAAAAAGCATAACGTGTGATTTTGGAGGGAAATTGTGCGGGAAAATTAAAATATTTATTGTGCGGGAAATTGTGCGTGATTATTGACGAACCAATGTTCTTGCCAAGTCCTAAGGAAAATCTGCATTGACGATAGTTTAGCCAAATTTCTTTCACTAGTAGTTCAAATATATTTAGCAGTGTTAGCAATCGCCAATTCTTTTAGGAAACTGTGTCTGACTGCTTAAGAAAATCGTGTTGCGTGACATGAACTAGACGAGTATGAAACCAAATTAAATAGCAAAACAGAATGCCGCATCTCCCCTTATAAATGAGTTCCTTTTTAAAAATACCCCTGCCTTTATTTCACCATAAACTGCGTTAAGGGTCGCAAATTCTCGGAAGTTATTCTCAAAAAACACAACTTGAAAGTTTATGCAAATTAAGTTCAATGCAATTTGCGGCTTCTCATAGGGCTGTTGTTTTCGCGAAGGAGTTTATCTATTCGCTCTCCAAAGGAGATATGAGCCTTGAAAAGGTTTTAAAAATCGCGACACGACAAATATGTTCAGCTGCACAATTTACTCGGATGGCCACGACCAGTAAACGAACTTCCTACAATTTCCGCTAACATGTACAATGTAATCGCCATAAGTTGTAAAAAGACCTGGAAAATTCTTTGCAAACAAGTTTTCCGTACATGCGTGGATAGCTGCGCTTCATTTTTGAACCAGAATGGTTTAAACTCACAACATTGCGATTGGATTACGAGGATACCCAACCAAGCAACTTGAATGGTAAATATCTAAGTGGAACTCTTGCGCTAAAATTTCCTGATTCTTTGATTTGTTTTTATTGTGTCTAATAAGCGTTTTCGTAAAGCGCGAATTGATATTGCGGTGTGAAGCCCGAGTAAACACTCTTAGAGCGTCTACTTGTTACAGTAGTTGCCTGCATAGGTTCACTCATCAAAGGTGCTGACATTTTTGTTTTTTTCATTTGTTTTATACCGGAGCTCCGGCGGCTTGAAGGGCCGCTAAGCGGAGCCCCGTACTCATATAGGAAAGAGAAGGAAAGCAATGAGTTGATTTTCTCATGGTTATCATGGCTAGCGGTATTGCTCATGGGCGCGTGCACGACGACGACGACGGTCGCGCAACATGGCGGCCATACTCCAAATAGAGAGAAATGCAGCCTTGGCTTACCGTGTACTTCTTTGATATTGGACACCATGTTATGATCAACTGACACCTGTAAAAACAAGGTATCACTGACCAGTATCACATGACCATATCGCGGGCTCAAGTTTACAGCTCATCGACGTCACGTGTTTTTTGAAGTTGGGCGTTGACCAAGTGCTGGTTTTTGATCGGATCGCGGGTTCACGTCAGATTAACTTGTTGAAAACTGGGCAGCATTGTTCGGAAGCCGGTTAACGCTAACCGAGGATTAAAAGTGAACCGAATTATGTGACAGTCCCGCTAAAAGCGGTCCACTTGACTTCGGGACCAAAAATAATTTTCCTTCATTTTTTGTCAGTGAAAAGGGTTTGACACATATATATAAAAACAATTTATTATTTTCCAATTCCTTATTTTTGCTTTGCTACGAGCCAAAATTGAATTTTGGCCGAACTAAGGTTGTCGACCGTGATCAGAAAGGTAAAATTCACCGATTTTGTGACGCGTGCTACGTCGCCTAAAATGCAGCTCACGGAATTTCGTTTTCACACGAACTTTAAGGTACATTCATTACTTTGACTGACGAAATATGGAAACTTTTCGAAAAATTCTAAGCTTACCAACGAGGCTGGAAGACACCCTACTCCG